GATAAACAAATGTTATTTTTCGCTGGGAAAAAATGATTCTTTTTTGTATCCTGAAAGGATTGATTTATTTGTTGAGTACTTATCTTAAGCCCCATACTCACACTTCGCTCCTTCCTCGCCTTACTTCCTCGCGTTCCTTCGTCCCTTCGCTTCCTTCCTTCGTCCATTCGATGCTTGGAAATTAGTCAATTATGCAACAACACACCACAAAATATTTTTAATATAGCAGCTACATGTTTAATACGAAATATCTAGTAACCTCTAAAATTTTTAAAAAATCCGAAAGGCGCATAATTTTTATTTTATAAAACTGCAATTCTTTGTCGTGTCAAAAATAAAAATTGAATTTTAATAATATATATTTTTTTAATAAATCCGAATATTTCAGTATCATGTACAAGGTATATCAGTATGAATGTACAAGGCGAGTCAACAATAGAGTAAAGTTTATTATGTAATTTATATCGAAACCATTACACATGTTTGGCTTTAATTTTATTTAATAATTGTATAAATTATACTGTTAAATCTTATTTTTTACACATCACAACGATACTTGTTATTAGTATTGTTGAATTTGTGTAAAAAATAAGATTTAGTAATCAAATTTAATTATATATTTTAGAGTAGAATTCAATAAATACGCTCATTTAAAAAGCCCGCGCTTCGATCCATTTAAAACAAGCCCTACTCAATAGATGGCGCCACTTCTGTAGGACCATTTTTCAGTATGGCAGAGTCCATTCTTTTTCTAGCTAGGTATATTCTTTGATCGAAACCATGAAATATGACATACTAATTAAACGTTAATGATGTCAATCCCCATTTCTTCAGATATTTTTGTAAAGGCATCATGCACATTATTTCTATTTTTTTATTTTTGTCGCTACGATTACATAAATATGGACATGCATTTTTTCACAAATATGAAGACAATATTGTTCTTTTCTTCCATTTTTTAGACTATTGTGTGTGAATTATTTTTATATCGACTGGCGATTGCTAGATGTACAGGATGTCCCATTTGTGTGTGTTTTATGGGGTTTCTGGTTTATGAGTAGAGATATAAAGATGCTGTTTTCACATCATTGTTCTACTTATTATGAAACTAAATATGCTACATAAGAAATAAGAAATATATATATGTATTTATCCTAACCTTCTTAGTTCAAAGTTATTTCTTATTTCTTTCTTTTACTTTTTATTTTTTAATTAGTAGAAATTTTTGCATTTTTCGATAACCTTTGTATCTCGATTATCTTATAATTTATCGAAAAGGTGAAAAGGGTCAGTGATGGGCGGTGGGTAAGTACCCAATTTGTAGATAAATAAAATCTGGGTATATACGTATATACCTGTAGATTTAGATGAACATCCTAATTTTAATAAAAGGAGTTTTCGACGACCGCATAGTAAATACCCGGTATAATACCGGGAATAGAAATATACCAATATATAATATCTACAATATATATAAGAAATATTGTAGATATACTCGTATTCCTGACATTACTGGTATTATATCGGGTATTTACTATGCGGTCGTTGGAAATACCTTTTATAAAATTAGACTGTTCATCTAAATGTACAGGTAATACCGGATACCCTGATTTTTTGTTTTGTTCTACCTATTGAGTACTTACCCACCGCCCGTGTCTCGTTTTTCAGGTAGAATGGCAGTGACGAAAGTGGTTCTTCGTTCGGAGCTGTCTATTTCGAAAAATGACTCAAACTTATGTTCTTTTTTTTAAACAGGACACTCTATATATTATTTTTTTTTGTCTTATTATGAGCTTTCGAAAATTATAATATACTCTATATTTATTTATTTAGGTACTGCTAAACTGCCAAACGGCTCTTATTTTATTTAACTTAATTTTACCAGATAATTTTGCTTTGCATCGTGATATTTTGATAAACTACACGGAAACTGAACTTGTGCTGCTTTTAAATAACATGCCAATAACCAACATTTTACGTCGAATAAATTAGTTGATTGTTTTGATTACCTAATTTAAACCGGCCGACTATGTAATAAAGTTAAATAATGCATTTTTACCCCGTTTATGAAAATAAGTATTTTAGAAAGCTCGTAACAAGGAAAATAAAATAATATACAAAATATCGCATTAAAAAAAAACATATAAGTTTAGTCAATTTAAAAGAGACAGATTCCAACGAAGAAATAGTTACGTCAATGCATTCTACGTGAAAAACTGTACGGGAGACTGTTTTTACCTTTTCGATAAGTTATGATACAAAGGGGATCGAAAAATGCAATAATTTCAGATTCGCCCTGCATTTTAGGAAGTAAGAGAGCTAGGACATATCTGTATGTAGCATCTTTAGTTTCATAAAAAAGTAACAGCGTAATGTGAAAATCGCATCTTTGTATTTCGACTCATAAACGAGAAACCCTGCAAAACACACGAAAATGGGACACCCTGTACAGACGTACTGCCAAATCAAGAAATCAACTACGAATAAAATCCAAGATCGATTTATATATTTTATATATTTTATGCAAAACAACAAATGCAAAACACACGAAAATGGGACACCCTGTACAGACGTACTGCCAAATCAAGAAATCAACTACGAATAAAATCCAAGATCGATTTATACATTTTATATATTTTATGCAAAACAACAAATGCAAAACACACGAAAATGGGACACCCTGTACAGACGTACTGCCAAATCAAGAAATCAACTACGAATAAAATCCAAGATCGATTTATATATTTTATATATTTTAATATTTTTTTGTGTTCGTGATAATTCCTTTGCTACTTCCTCCAAAAACCGACAATACGTGGAAGGAGCGTTTCGAGGAAGTAATGGTGTCATGGTGTAAATGTGTTATGGTGTCAAACAGCGCCCTCTAGCTACCACAAAAAATTTATGAAAACAAAATTTATACTGGAGATAATTATGGACGAAAAGCTCTTTTAAACGAGCTCTAGTTTGTTTCAATCGGCTAATCTAAACCAGAGTTATCCTTATTTTAATAAAATCAAGTTTAACCTTCCTCCACTACGTTATTTTATGAGATAGAGCAAAACACTCTACATCAAAAAAACTATAAATTTCTCGATGATTACAATAGTAATATTAAAAATACCTGTTCACCTGCATATTTTTGAGAAAAGCGGACATTTTTCGAACTTGAAAATAATTTCCAGCGATTTCTCTTGGTCGATTTGCTTATTAGAATTTTTTTCCCAAAGTTATACGATAAGTAGTTTCTGAGATACAGCCGGCGTCCATTCTTAGTTGGCCACCCGGTATTTTATAAATTAGATACAACATTTTGAACTTTTCTTACAAATTATCTCACCTCCATATTTAAGAGACAAAAATTAGGAAGCACGAACATGTGGTCATTTTCCCGAATTTTTAACGGTTTCAAGAAAACAATTTAGTCAAAGAAAATGTTATAGAATAAAACGGAACGATTGGCAGAATTGGGTTTGTTTGTGAATTATTCCAATAATTACACCATAATTAGGGGAAGAGTGTGTAAACCCAAATAAAAAAGTAACAACATAGTAACATAAAAAACAATTACAAAAGCTTATTTAGAAAATGTTTTATTTATTTCGTACAATAAATTAACAGTTTTTCATATCATATTCCGACACTTGCCGCCACTGAAACACTGAAAACTGTTTCAGGCCTTCCTCCTGTAACGAGGGGTGTGGTTTTCAGTCTATTGAACCCTCTCATTGGATGCTAAAATTGCCAAGGAGGGACCTTAATCTCATTGCCAAGCTCCTATTGGACCTGGATGCTGTATCCCGAATCTCCTGAAACGATTCCCCGATATGATCTTTTTCTGGAACACGTTTTGTTTCAGTTGATGCGATACGAATGGAAGGAGTAAATGGCATTTGACAGGACTATTTTAATGTTTTGTTGCGTTTTTTGATGTGGAAAATATCAAATTTATGTGTTAAAACGTCGCGAAGTTTGTGGTGAAGTTTGTGCAGTTTTTTAAGGATACAGAAGTATTATTTTATATAATAGTGATATAGTGATTTATATCTTATAAAAGTAAGTTCATTTATACTCTTTAGTCTCACTTTATTAACTCTAGAGATTTTAGAGTAATAGTGATACATATTTAGATGACAATATGAGTCCAAAAGGATAATTTTTTTATTTATTACTGAATTACAAAAAACTATTACTGAATTTAAAAAAAAATTAAATACAAAATATATTAAAACCTTAATATTAATATTTCATTTAATTAATATACTCTGTAGTTCGATTCTGTGTACAGGGCTGCTTCTTTGTGGAACTTTGCTTTCTTTGAGAATAAAATGAATTTAGATCTTTATAATCATCCTCAACGATACTCTATTTAACAGAATTATCACTTTTTGAGCCATTATTTCCAAATTTTGAAAGAGTTTTTTTAAAATTAATAATTTAAGAGTTATCAACAGGAAATTTGATTTTTTATATAAGACACCCTGTATATTTTTAATATATTGAAAAGAATTTAAAATTACCTTTCCAAAAATATAACACAGTTGATATTTTGCTCGATTCCTCTTCGAGATATAGAGTATATAAAAATTCGCCCGCTTTAAATGAGTATAGGCTTTGAACGGCACCGGCTGTAATGCAAAAAAATCTGGCTTTGAGCATCAATTAAAACGAAAATAATATTTGCTATGAGAGATTCAGAATTTTATAACTATTTAAAATATATTTAACCAACAGCAACACATTTAAACTATATCTAATAACAATAAAACTAAATAGCAAACCAAGACATGAGATTTTGCACAGGTGTTCGACATATCGACCGTCTTCTGTTATGGACAGACGGGGCAGTTTTTGAACATTTCTCGCGGAATTCATTAACTCAGTGGGGGTGAAAGATACCCTCTCATAACTGCTAAGTATTTCTAATTCTTGTCTAGATTATACGGAAGAATAAGGAACCTTTATTCTTTCGCAAATATATCAATAGGATTAGATCCATGGGCACTAAGTCAGGCGGCTTCGACGGCCAACGGCTGGAATCTTGGTTAGCTATTCAATTATTATTGAAATTGGATGCATAGTTCAAGAAATGTCGTTGAGCAAATTTTGGTTAGTTATACATCTGTGGTTATACCAATTCCGGGTAAAATGATTTGTGCAATCTGACTAGCCTTCATTAGGCATTTTGCAAAGTGATTGAAAACAGATAGGCTCTTTGTAAACTATCCTTTTTTTGTAATCGCTTCATAGGAGTCTGGTAGACATCTCTCTAATTTCTATATTAATTAATTCAGCACTCCTTACACTAATGAGTGTATCGCTTTATTTACTTATCGAACGCCTATTGACCTGAAGGTATATGTATCTTCATTCTTCGTTTCTACAATTGCAGGCGTTTACGAAATATAGAGGAATGTTTAGCTCCAGGCTCCAGGTATCTGACAGACCATGAAAAGAATGCAAAATAAAATAATTAAGAAATGAGTCTATTTAAAAAGCCACCACCCTCTACCACCATTTTGTATATCTACAATATATTTTTTTACATATTTTCATAGATATGTTAACAACAAGCAGAGCTGCAAGGGTGCCAAAATGTGCAAGATGTCGGAACCATGGCATGATTTCTACGTTGAGAGGTCACAAGAAACAGTGCATTTACAAGAATTGCAACTGTGCAAAATGTGGATTAATCAAAGAACGACAACGCATCATGGCAGCCCAGGTAAAAAAAAACGTTACGGTAGGCGTAGAATGTAACATTTTATTTTTACCTTAGTTCTACTAAAGATATGCCTTAAAATTTAATACTTTAATTCGGTTCCTTCCTGCCAGAGTTTCCAATTCATCCAGGCATTTCCAGACGAGTCTCGACGATACCTTTGGACTAGAGATGGGCGGTTATTGGTAAAAAACCGGTTATAGGTTAACCGGAATTATCTTTAAAAAATAATAACTTAATTAACCGACACAAATTAACCGGTTATTCAAATAACCTAACCTAGCAAAACTAAATATTTAGTTTTCCTATAGGTTTACTTACCTCTACACTCCGTAGGTCTACTTCAAATTTAGATAATAAACTTAGTTAAATCGCATGATTAAATAGAGATTGTAGCAATGTAAGTACGTATATGTACAAAATGAATTTAAATAAAAATGCTAAACTCACTTTTTTGAGTAGACATGGATATGATATTAAAACTAGTAATTACTTAACGTTCAAATAAACCACACAACTCGCAAGTTCTACAATCTACAACCAAGTTATTTTAATCAAATAGCAAAGAAAAATAAGGAGACTGAATGAATAGATAATGAAAGATTATCTTCATTCATTACTTGAACTTCAATTTTGTATTCTTTAGTTTAAGCTTCAAGAGAGACTTCAAACTAAAATATATTTACGGTGAAACGTGGGTGAAACTGGGCGAAACCATGGAAAACTTTTGAAGAACCGTTGAAAATCCGTTAAAGTCGGTTAAAATTTAAATATAGAATTTAGAGAATCTGTTTGAAGTTAGGTTCGTATCACTTGGCTAGCTGGTGGCTAGTAGTAGTCTATGCCATTAGTACTTTGTTTTACGGCCTGACCTGTCAGGGCCATTTGGCCGTATCTTTGAATAAGAAGACTAAGGAAGGAGCATATCAAAAATCTTAGGTACACCGCGATGGGCCTCAAATATGGTCGACTTAAATTCCGGTTTATCAGTGTCGTTCTAATTTTATTTAAAAAATGTAAAACTATGATGTAGGGTAGACGTGGGGTAGACTCAATAATTTGTTGTTTTATTTTACGTTGTGAATAAATGTTGGTAGTTATTAAAATTGTTATAAAATATATAATTCTAATAAAAATGATAAGTTATAATAAGTATTTATTAACACAAACATCCGATACGCTACTGAAGCAGGTAAGTCAAATTAAGGTATCTAAATTCTTTGACATCTAATCTTTGACAAGTAATAAATAAAAGCTAAAATGCAAGAAAAATATATAATTTAGTTGATTTAAGTGAATTTCATAAATGATCGGTTTACTACACGTATGTATATTATATAGTCACTTACTAGCGAAAAGTTGTTCCATTATTTCACTCAATTTTTGCCGAGATCTACCGCACGCTACACAACCAACTATTTTAGAGTCTTTTTCGATAAATCGCGATAGTGTCACTGTTAATTTAAGTTCTGCCACAATTTCCATCTACATTTACTACCTTTATACAACTATAGTAGTAGTATAAATAATAAATAACATAAAATCAGCTCCGTAAAGACTGACAAATCCACAAAATTTCAAATCAAATTCAAATGTGTCAAATGAATCGTCAAACAGAACTGTCAAGGATCCCCACCCTAGAGAGCTTTTATGGTGCCTTTTCCGCCCACCATGCATGAATACATGGATAGCATTATGCTCCTTCCTTATAGTCTTCTTATTCAAAGGGCCGCATAAAGCCCGTAAAAATTTTAGGTCGCGAAATTATTTTGGGTCGCGACCGTTAGACGCGATCTGGCGCTGCTATAGGGGTCGCTAAGAACAACGGCAAACAAAAACAGAAATAATTTTCTCTTGTCAAAGTCAGAATCTTCAAAAATCATAATAATCTTTCAAAATCTAAACCACTCTCATTAAAGAAATTCCGAAAAGTGTTTATAGCGTCCATTTTCAAAGTAATTATTGCTATCTTGTGAGTTTAATTCAAGTTTTATTTACTCCAACCGGTGATAATTGTGAAAAAGTGGCATTAAAAACTTAAAAAGCTGTGCTGTGAACTGTGAACTGCAAAAACCATCGTGGATCGTGGCATAACGTCGGTTTCCGATGTTTCATAGGTATTTCATACATGCGTCCTTATATAAAATAAAGTTTCTACACACTGTATTTTATTTATAAAATTAAACGAAAATAATAATAAATTTGAATAAACAATATTTGGCGATATAATTCCGGAAAAAGCCGAACCGCTCCGAAATTTTGAAAAGTTTTGGGTCGCGACCGTTGCAAGAATAGCGCCAAATAGTGTTTACATTGTCCTTATGGGCACTTTCCAATCTAAACTTGTTTCATTTATCTATGTTCGGCCGTTGTTTTGATTATTATCATCAGGGTTCGCCTGATGCCTGATTTAATTTTGACATTTGATGTTTGATGTCATATATTTTCGTTTTGGGAGCGGGAGCGGGATCTCCCGTTATCGTCGTAATATCTGGAAGATCCGTGCCGTTCGCTTCTTCTAAATTTACGATTCAAACAGCTAATATTTAATTGTTACTTGTTTTAAACAAGTACGATTTTTTAAAAAAATAACCGGCTATGGGTTATTGAACGTAATGCAAGGTTATTAGGTTAACTGGTGAAAAAAAAACTACCTTTAAATAACCGGTTATTTTAGAGGAAAATACCGGTTATTCAAAAAACCGGTTACTTTTGCCCATCTCTACTTTGGACTTATGAGTGCCTTAAATATCTTCTGACTGTCTGGGTATATATTGATGAGCTTACCTGAGTAAGCTCTTCTGTTGTTCTGTCCCGCGTATCGTAGAATGACGAAGATTTCTGTCTGGAATACGGTTGAGTATTTACCCAAGGAAAAGGATAAGCTTGTCCTTGGTCTTTCGCAAATACTTCAGCTCTTGTTCCGTCAACTGTCACAATTACCTTTGAAAAGTTATACTAAATTACAGTTACCAGTTACCACTTACCTTTCTAACATAAAGGCAGTCTAATACATATTTCTATTTTCTCTTGCAAGTTTTTTTGGGACAATTATTGTTTTGAACTGCCTTTTACTTATCCAAACTATTTTAAAACGTACTTCAGAGAATTTAAGGTGTCTGGTTTTTCAAATTCATCATCATCATCATTTAGCTTATTCCGTCCACTGCCGAACAAAAGCCTCCCTCAACTCTAGCCATTTCTTTCTATTTTGTGCCACTTAAATCCAGTTTCCAACCACTTTCTTAATATCATCTGTCCATCTACTAGGAGGTCGTTCTCTTCTTCTATAGGCCTCGTGTCTTGGTCTCCATTCCACAAGTCTCTTTGTCCACCTGCCCAATTCCATTTAAGATGTAAGACAGATATCACCACATCTCTTACTTCTGTTAGATTTCCTATGGTATGATTGGGTATTTTATCTCTCAGTTTAACTCCCAACATAGACTTTTCCATTTTCCGTTGCATGGCCTCTATTCTATTCCTTTTTCCTTTTACTATTTTTTCCTTTATACTATTTCTTTGGCCTGTAGTTCTTTTTTCTCAAAGTAAGCCTTTCAGCTACGCGAAGATACACTTGTTAAAGACCTTTCTCAGTATATGCTTTATTTTTTGGATAAATTTTGCCTACATATATTTTTTAAAGATATGCGATAATTGTATTGAGTAGTGTAGGTAAATAGTAATATATTGTTTTCAGATTTTAAACAAATTTCGATTTTTAAGTGCCTCTTTCAGACCACAATACTATATCTAATCTACTTAAATTAGTCAAAGTTCTATTTTAATGCAGTTCACTTGTTATTATTTTATTGACATTGACATTTAATTCACAATTGATTGATTTTATCTATCTTATTAATGTTAGTTATAGTTACATTTAATATTTTTAATAATCATGTTTCTATGCACTTCAAGTACTCATCGTTTTTCTGTACTGTACAGATAAATATCATAGTGCATTATAATGTCAACACTCGAAAGTTCAAAGTTTCAAACAATAATGTAATTTTATAAGATTCTTTAGATATATTTAATGATTATTAGCAGAAAATGTGATTTTCAGAATTAGCTTTGCCTGTTGTAACTTTTCTCTTCGATATTACTAGACAATGCTATAATTGATAAAACCGTTCTGCTTTGAAAAAATAAAAAAATAACGCTTTATTGTGCAAAAAGCTGAAACAGCTTGATCGACAAAGCATTTACAAAACAAACAAAAGCACAAAAAATATACAAATAATAAAAAATATACAATACAAATCCCTACAATTCAAAAAAAAATAAGTCATTAAAATTACAAATAGAACATACATAGACAATTGCAGAACACAAAAAAAAGCGTAGTTATAAAATATTAAACTCGACTTTTGACCAGTGTGTGAGATGATCAAAATTTTAAAATTCAAAATTGTTCATGATTAAACATCAACAAAAAAGTCGTTTATCGCATATAGGGCTCTCTCCAGTAAGTATGATTTCAGAGCTTTGCAAAATGCGGAATGGAAAAATGAAAGCGACTTGATATTCAAAGGCTGTAGATGATTGTACATTTTTTTGGCATTGTACAGTATTGAGTATTTAACTAGTACTGAGCTCAGGGTTGGCAGATAAAGATCGTGCTCCGCATTCCTAAGTGGATAGTTGTGAGATGGCCTTTCGGGAATAACAGATATGTGCTTGCGGATTAAGCAAACGGATTCAAAAAGTAATAAAGAAGGAAGAGTCAGTATTTTGAAATTTTCAAAGAAATTCTGGCAGTGAGTTCTACTGTTCGAACTGCTCTCTTTTGAAGTTTGAAAATACGATCAAATTTTGTCGCGCAGCAAGTACCTAAGAATGGATGAGCATAACGAAGCTGCGACTCAAAAAGGGCATAATATACTATTCTAGAGGTTGATAAGTTAAGTTCCTTAGAAACTGATCTTAGCGCAAAACAGGCAGCGCTTAGTTTCTTTGATAAAGCTTCGATGTGCAAGTCCTATTTTAACGAGTTGTCTACAACAAGTCCTAAAAATTTCACAGAATCCACGACGTCAATAGTGGTGTTATTAAGTACAAGTAAGAACAATCTACGGTTTGTCACGGGTTTCCTAACTTAGTAGACTGAAGCTGAGAAACAACGGCGAATGCAGATTATGCGGTGAAATTGGTAAATCACCAGAACACTTCATCACTGAAGTCGCCGAAACTAGCCTATGTAAAACTGCCTTAGATACTGATGGTTTTTATCAAAGCCCTGAGACTGTATTGAACAAACTGCAAACGGCAAAACTAGAATAAACACTCACATACACCGGCGGTTTTAACTGAACAGCCCTACCCGTTCGGTTAAAACGGTGCATAATAACCGAAGTGTATGGGGGCCTTTAAGCGAGGGTAATAAATTCAATACGATTAAATTAAGGGTATCAGATTCAAGCAGACTGTGTGTACTCTTGTTGTTTGCCGTGGTCCATTCTGTACACTGTTCTAATGGAATATCGATCAAGCCACTACAAGATGTCACAGTGTCGAATTTCAAATGAAAATTTATGTGTTTGTGCCTATTGATTTCCCAAGAAAAAAAAACACTGAAGCATTTGTTAAAATTGAAGAAAAATATTTGAAAATAGTCGTTTAAGAACTTGTCTGTAAGGATCTGAGTAATTAGCAAATAATAGCTTGGATCAAACAGCCATACATCAGTTAGAAATAGTTTATAATTGTCCGACGCAAAGCCTCTTTAGTTGTATCAAAATTTTCATCATCATCGTCAGCATGATCATCATTCTCAGCTTATTCAACTATTTCCAATTATGATGTATAGTCTGTCCAATGACAAGATCCTTGACAGTGATCGATGTGTCGGTCGTTTTATTTTCAAAGTAGTTTATTTTATTTTACAAAGAAATAAGTTGGTACAATTGGAACGCATAGCAGAAAATTAATATATTTAAAATTTAAGTAATTACTTCAAAATATTGTGAAAAAAACTGTATAAAATTGAAAAAACCTAATCGAGTTATTTTATTAAGAACAATTACAGTATGTGTTAATACAAAACAAGCAAGGGTGTATTTAAAAGCCACCACATACTAAAAAAGATATAAAAAAGATTATTTCCTGCTTTCGAGCCGTGTTTCAAGCCCAATCAAGTTCCTGCATTTATTGTTACATTTATCAATATAATTATTCAGTATGATTATTATTTACCTATCTTGTGCTGCTATTTTACAGATACTCCAGTTTTTGGTGTTATATACAAGATAGTATACAAACTTTATCGCCTTCTAGCTACGACGAAAAAAATTGTGGAAACAAAATTTATACTGGAGATCATTAAGGAAGAAAAGCTCTTTTAAACGAGCCCTAGTTTGTTTAAATCGCTTAACCTAAACCAGAGTTATCCTTATTTTAATAAGAGCAAGTCTAACCTTCCCCCACCACTTTATTTTATGAGATAGAGCAAAATATTTTATATCAAAAAAATTACAAATTTCTCGATGATTATACTAGTAATATTTAAAATACCTGTTCACCTGCATATTTTTGAGAAAAACCCTGTTTTCTGATTAGCTATTAGAGAAACGCCCCCGAGCGAGCATTTTTCGAACTTGAAAATAATTTCCAGCGATTTCTCTTGGTCGATTTACTTATTTGATTTTTTTTCCCAAAGTTATATGATAAGTAGTTTCTGAGATACAGCCGGCGTCCATTCTTAGTTGGCCACCCGGTACATTGGTCGACTGTTTTATTCTTTAGATAAAGTGGCATTCTAGTCCAATGGCAATTATCCCCTCTAATAGACAATAATAAAAAATAACAAAACAAAAATAATATAGTTGTAAACAACGTTTTTCCTTTAGGTAGCTCTAAAACGCCAGCAAGCAGCTGAAGATGCCATAGCGCTTCATCTAGCTTCGGCAGAGAGTGGAACTACCTACGAGTACCTTCCTCCAGGACGAATCTACGGTATGCAAGTAACTTCTCCCGAAACAGAGACTGAAGACAGTCCCCCAGCAGTGGAGAAATCTTCGCCGGATCCTGCAAAAGATGACGTAGCAATAAGCCCGGGTTCCATAGAGATGCTGGGCAAGTTGTTTCCAAACAAGAAGAGAACCGTTTTGGAGTTGGTACTCAAAAGGTATGTACGGTTATTTGTTTATTTAGAACCATATGTGTAATGCTGTCTTTTCTGACTGGCAAATTTTTGTGGGTTTTTTAGTAATTTGTAGCTGAATTATTAGGCTTTGTAGATTCTTTAAAAAGAAAAATGGTTGACAAATTTCAAGTATTTATATACTGTAATAATTTTAAATTTATATTATATAAATTTAAAATAAATATATATATATATATATATATATATATATATATATATATATATATATATATATATATATATATATATATATATATATATATATATATATATATATATATATATATATATATATATATATATATATATATATATATATATATATATATATATATATATATATATATATATATATATATATATATATATATATATATATATATATATATATATTTTTTTTTGTTTTCACTCTTGGCTTTAGGTCGTTGGGGTTGCAAAGATGTTTCTAGATTTTGTTCATTATTTTTTTATTTTGTGACGACGTTTCGACAGTATATGTTTTTTTCAAGCCTCTTGAACGTAGATTCTTACAGAGTTAAAATTTGTTAAACTGGACAACACAATAACACATATTAACTATTGTTTTTAATTGTTTTTGGACATTACACTTTACTATAGAGCACGTACGTATTTCCTTGCAGATCGCTCTGTATAAAACACATTTATCGTTTCAATACCCGATGTCTACTGCTCTCAGTATGTCTACTGCTCCTATGTCTTGAAAAAGACATATACTGTCGAAACGTCGTCACAAAATAAAAAAATAATGAACAAAATCTAGAAACATCTTTGCAACCCCAACGACCTAAAGCCAAGAGTGAAAACAAAAAAATATATAGTATACTACTGAACACACAGCCTGTTTGCCAGTTGAAAAAAAATTACTTATTAATATTTGGAGGCCCCCTAGAAGAAGGGGCCCGGGGCGGACCGCCCCTTCCGCCCCCCCCCCCTTCTTAGTCAGCCACTGCTTCTTCTTTTGCAAAAAGGAAATAAAAATTCAAATAATTTTGCTATAAATCGTTTAAAAAATCATCAGAATCGGCCCACTAGAACAAAATATATTAAACTTTAAACGACATGAAAATTTTAAGGTGTCTATCAAATTTTTTATTTATCTAATCTATATCTATACCGAGGGGAAAACGCTTGGATACGCATAATTTATTTTGGTTTTTTACATATTTTGAAATTTTTTAAAAATCATACAGGGTGTTCGAAAAAGTTTGGTAATAATTGATTAACCACGATTCTGCTTAAACTGCTTGACGTAAAAAGCTTATTTTTGGCAAACGGATTTTTCGAAAGTCAAATTCCAACGAGATGAAACTACCCCTCAAATATTACGAAGTTATACAGGGTTGTTCACCACATACGACACGGAGTATTGTAGCTAAACGATTAGATTTCTACAAATTGTAAGTTTTGGGTTCGTTGAAGGACTATTAGAGCTACAATTTAAAAATATTTTTACAAGATACAGAGTGTCCCAAATAAATAAAAAATATCAAAGTTGTATTTACATTTTAGATTTTTTTAAAACAACAAATGTACAAAATGTACAGGCTAGTAATATTATCGCTTTTAGTAAAACGAAAATTAACTACCCCATTTGTACGCAAAAAGAAAACTATTTAAATCTTTATAAAAGAGTATACCACTAATTAAATATACCACCAGTATTTCCGCCCAAATACTAATTAATTACATATTTAATTGTGTTCGTTAATAAATTATTCTAAATAAATGTGGATTTGAATCAGAAATCAATGTAATAATAAGTTATGAAAATGAACTTCTCTGTTGTTATAAATAAGCATTTGTCAAAAAATGAAATATCATTTTTAAGGTGTTAGTTTTTTTACCACACTGTCTAATGCACATACATAATTCAGTTTTTTAGTATTTGGAGCAATTATTATTAATCAACGCAAACAGTCAATTAATGTAGTTTGAATACTGAAATCATATTAATTGGTCCTCTTTAACAAATATATAAACAGTTTTTTTATTTTTTAATGAAATAAACGAACTATATCGACAATAATAGTATCTGTACTCTTTAAAAATTTGGTGCATCTTTAAAAATAATCTAAAATGTCAGTATTCTATGGGTATATTGATAAATGATTTCTAAATTACAAGAAAATGCATTTTCTACGGAAACTTGAAGAGATAGGTAGAAAATGGTATAATACAATTTGATACAAAATTAAATTGTGCATCTGATTCTCATAAAATATACAGGCTGTTCCATTTAAATTAAACAAGTTATTGCCGTTTAAAGCTAATAATTATTTAAAATAAATATTTAGACACTCTGTATAACGTAGTAAAATTTTTATTATTGCAACACAATAACTGATCAATAAATAAACTTCGGTAAATATTTAGTATTAAAAACTTTGATACCCTCGGAGAAACGAAGCCTTAAAATTTATACTGCAATTTCACAAAATTGAAAATATTTCAAAAACGGTAAGGTTTAAGTGTAATAAACCTTAATCAAATTTACCTTTATTTTAATTGTAGAAACTAAAAATGTAATAATATACAGGGTGTTTCATTTAAAAAAATACAACTTTGATATTTTTTATTTATTTGGGACACTCTGTATCTTGTAAAAATATTTTTAAATTGTAGCTCTAATAGTCCTTCAACGAACCCAAAACTTACAATTTGTAGAAATCTAATCGTTTAGCTACAATATTCCGTGTCGTATGTGGTGAACAACCCTGTATAATAATATCGCCATATAGTTTCTTCTCACGCTGACATAAATGTGAGAAAATTTGATCCAGTTTGTATGTTAATGGAAATTCTTGCTTTGCTTTATCATCACCATTACAAATGATTAATTCGACGCGAACGAAGTCGCGGGTACACGCTAGTTATTTACATTTTGATATGTTATAGATGTAACCACGACTTGCTCAAAGCAATCGAACACTTCAACTTGAACAACGGCAAGACTTCGTGCGGAAATGATTCCGATTCAGGAAGTACCAAGGAGGAAACGTCTTCTTCAGCCTTTAAGCCAGTGTCAAGCTCGGCAAAAACATCTTCCAAACCACCACTGTACCCTGGATTACACGCCACTACTGTACCGATGATATCCAGTGAGGTTTTTAGTTTTTATCCATTTTTTCCAATTTTTCCGAAGCCCATTGTGAGGAATCCCGTGTACGTCCCTGGATTTTGTGATTGCGAGCAGTGCAAGCACGGTTCTGCTTATAGTTCGGTAGATAATAGATCATAAAAAATGTACAGAGACTTCATTATGAATAGAGTAGTAAAAAATATTTTATTTACTGCCTGTTCAGAGGGTTAAAGTGAGGTAGTGAATAAAATAGTATACAAGTATACAGGGTGTCCCAGGCTGAGCGTGCATTAGAAAACTTCAATATAAGGATCGGTGATTTTTTGCACATCGCTGTTTCACAACGAGATCTATCAATTAAAAATATTTTCAATATGGCGGCGCTTCCGGGAATACCGGAAGTTAACAACAACTTTCCAATTTTGAATGGGTACCCCCATTTTTTATTACTTACTACTTAAATTCTCTGTAATATTTTTAATCAAATATAGGAACATGTATAATCAAAAAACAATGAATTAAAAAAGCTTTTCATCGGTGAAATATAAAAGTGGATTTCCATTTGAAAAAAATGATTTATAATAATTTTTTAATCGCTCAATCCCATGACAGCTACTGTCAATATTATATGACATTCAAATAATTTAATTTTTGACATAGATAGCCACATGTCTTCTCTTTGTGCCACAGTGGCTGTGGTAATTACTAAATTTGTCGTTTAGGCTATACATATATTTTTGACAGGCAGTTTTTTCCTTAAAACTTTAAATATTTATTTTTCTCAAAATTTTTTCTCAATTTTCCATTCTGCCTGCCACTGCTGCACTGTGCGGTTTCTCTCCATCTCTCTGCTTGCCCTGGTTTGTACTTGACCCTTGAGAAAGAGTGGTTCTCTTTCTCTTGAGAGAAGATGCAAGGGCACCAGACCCGATATCACCAAGGCTGCCTCAGTTGAAGTAGTCCGATACGCCGAGCAGACCCTCAAAGCCATGACTCTCTGTGCACCTTCAAGTCTTTTTTTATTTACGTGCATATTGGTTGCTTCGTTCCACACAGGTGCTCCATACATAATAATATTCTGGCACGCATATGCTAACACTCTTCTCTTTGCTGGTGTTGGGCCCCGAACGTTTGGCAGTATTGCGGAAAACGCTTTAGCAGTTCGTTGTGATTTCAGACACACCTCCTTGATGTGCAGGCCCATCGTGAGTCCACGGTCTATGTGGAATCCAAGATAGTTGACTTGCTTTACTGGATTTATTATTATATCCTTAAAATTAAACCTTATATGGTCAACTTTTCTCTTGCGGCTCAGTAAAATCGCCTCTGTTTTTTCCACAGCTATTTCGAGTCTGTGCTCACGCATCCATCTGGCTATGATCTTTAGTGTATCATTCACAGTCTGCATTAGGTCGAGGTCGTTTATTTTTTTGTTTCTTTTAGTTTTTTTTTGTTATTATCACAGCAAGATCATCGGCGTAACAGATCAACTCTCTCCCATCTGGTACAGTAAGCTCCATGACACTGTCGTATAATATGTTCCACGACAGAGTGGGCCCCTGCACTGAGCCCTGTGGGACGCCACCGAATACCTCTCTTTCATCTTCTCTATTGAGAACTATAAATCTATTATCAAGATAGCTTCTTATTATGTTCACCAAATAGCCACTTATGCCCCATCTTCTAAGTTCTTTAATAATTATTTCCCATGACGCGCAATTAAATGCATTTTTAACGTCGACTAAAATGGCAATATGCCAAGTGGCTTTTCTTTTCACGATATCCGATATTTTCTTTATTGCATGTGTGGTAGATTTCCCCTTTACAAATCCATACTGGTTTGGATGCATACCATTTCGTTTCTTCCTAATTTCTTCCAAGAGTCGCGTATTGATGAGTTTCTCATAGACTTTCCCGATTACATCAATGAGGTAAATCGGACGATATTTTGGTGGATCATTTAGGTGCTTCCGGGGTTTCTCTATTAGGGTTAATTTGGATCTCTTCCATTCTTTAGGGAATTCATTTCTCTGAAGAAAGTTATTGAAAATGTTCTAAAATATTCTACATTGTCCAATATTAGCGTTTTTATCACATTTAGTGGCAAATTATCACAGCCCGGAGATTTGTTAATTTTTATATCTTTGGCAGCATTTATTATATCTGAATCACAAAAAATATCACATTCTCTTATCACAGTTTGTATATTATTTGGTTCAATCCAGGTTTGTCTCTCATATACAAATAGAGCCTTAAACTGTTTGATTTTTTCTTCTGGGTCCATTTGAACTCTGGGTGGCATTTTTTTCAGCTGGGATCTTATTATCTTATATGCTTAAACGTAAATATTTTCTTGTAAGTCATCGCGCAGTTTTTTCCATGAACTTACTTTTGCAATTCTGATCTTTTGAGACAGATCCTGCTTTGCTTCTTCGTAGGTACGTTTATAGAGCTCGCGAAGATCATCGTTTCTTGTTTCTCGTTGAAACCTACTTCTAAAATGTACTAATGCACGCTTAGCCTGGGACACCCTGTACCTCGGAGAAAAGTTTTTTCATTCCCCTGTATAAAACAATGTTAAAAGCACATTAAACTAGTAGATCTAATCGTTTTGTAGATTAATTGTCATTATATTTTGCCAAAGATTCTAGTTTTTAGTTTTAGTGATATTTAGTCCAGTTATAACCTTATACCACAGTTTAAAGAATATAAATATATATTTATATTCTTTAAACTGTGCTTATACCCTATTAGATCTAAAGTGAGTAGGATATCATATTCTTTATAAAGTATATGTGATTACATCGTATGAAAAAAAAACGGCGTCAAAGACGGCGGGGAATTACAATCGATGCCCGTACTTTTCTTTATTTTTTAATTGTGCTAAGGTTGTAATTTATTGTAAAAATTTTATTGGAAATAGATTTGTCTAGGTCTGGAAACGTTCTATCCTTTTTTAATCTTTCTATAATTAGTATTAGTTTTTGACAAGTTTCAAGTCAATTTTTAATAAATAATGATGTTTAGAGATTGACCTAGCCAAAATTATTATAGACTGTCATTCCCCAGCCGTCTTTGACGCCGTTTTTTTCTTGATCGTCAGATACATACTTACTTTACGTACTTTGATTTAAAAATTAAGGAATATTTTTATTGTAAGTATTAGGCTAGTCTGTTACAATATTGTTGTAGTTTTCATCTATATATAAATAAAAATAAGAATAAAAAAGTACGAAATGTGTATTATTTTACAAATAGAAAATCTAATTATTCTGCTGGTTTTGCTTTTTTTGACATGGGATATGATAGTTATTTTCTTTTATCTATGGATATGATAACGTTTTGATATAGACAGACCAGTGCCTTCTATTAAAAGATCAGCCTGGGGGCGGACTTTTGTTTACTTCATCAGCTGTACATACTTAGATATTGGGTTAGATTCCGTTTCATATTTTGTCGGTTGATTTTTGGTTTTAACTCTTTGATTTTTGGTATTATTTATTATTGTAGTGCAAAAAACTGATTATTTTGGTGTTTAAGTGACATAAACTACTACCAGATATATGGTAACTCTCGGTTTCGCATAAAAAAATAGAAAAATTGAAAAATTACACGTTGTGTAAGTGATTTAACCTAAAAGTGCCCCTACATTTTTTACTTATCGTGATTTTTGTGTGTGTTTTTTAAGACTCTAACAATTCATCAATAAAGCTTAAGTGGAGTGTGTTTTTGGTGCTATGCTTCATCTTTGTTGTGTTCCTGGTGGAAAGGATAGTTATACTAGGCAGCCTAAAGTGTCCGGAAGAGCAAGAAAAGTGGGTACGAATTATAAATCAAGAGAATTCTATTGAAAATATCTTTAATAAATTTAAAAATAATATTCTCCCATGATGGTATTAATGAAAACTGGACAACTATGTTTATTTTATTCATATTGTGGAATCTCCACTCCAAGTGTTGTTGGTTCAGCTTCGATAGATTCAAACACGTAAGTAGGTATTATGATCTAGGGAAAAATAAAGAATATGTGTATTAAAGATCATGAAAAAGATTATTACTTTGAGTTCATTTTAAAAAAGATTTTTGTAAAGACAAGACAGATACAGTTTAAAAGAAGAATGTGTTTTTGTTTGATAATATATAATGTATGTCAAGCATAACATATATTTGTTCAGTAATTTTTAATGAAAGGTGTTGATTATTTATAATACCAAATTAATATCAAATATTTAAGTGATGGCTGAATAGAATATGAATAAAATAACAATAAAATTGGTATATTTGCATAATACAAAATTAAGTTTTAAGAATAAAGGTGTTACTAAAAATACAAAGAAATTCATATTTCTTTGTTTTAATTGGTCTAATGTTATTTACATTTTACGTAAGAATTATACCGTATCACCGAAAAAAATCGGCGTCTAGTTGGCTTGGAAATGAACATCGATGACATTCCCTAAATAACTGTACATATAAAATAATTAACTAGAATTTTACAATCTTGGAAAATTTGATATTCTTGAACCTTGTTTCTAAATATTCTAAATTTTTTGATTTTCTTGGAATTTAGGTTCGGGAAAAACGCTGATTAAGTTTTCATTTCGTTTTTCATTATTTTTATTTGGTTTAAGAAAAACGTTTCGGCTAACATTATAGCCTTCATCAGTGCTGTGTCATATGAAAAAAATAGTGTCGAATATAATCCAAAAAATTACATATAAAATATTCACACCACGCACATAATGTTTACTGCGTACTCCATAGTCAATGTAGATAATTTTAGTGTTAAGAATAATAATTTTAAAAAATATGTGGTCATCTTTTGATAAGTTTATATTAGTTTATTATTTGCAGTAAACATTATAAGGTGTGAATTATATTGTATCTGTAATTTTTTGGATTATATTCGACACTATTTTTCTCATATGACACAACACTGACAAGGCTATAGTTAGCCGAAACGTTTTTTTAAACCAAATAAAAATAATGAAAACCCAAATGAAAACTTAAATCAGCGTTTTTCCCGAACCTAAAAATCCCAAGAAAATCAAAAATTTTAGAATAATTTTGCATATAAAATGCCAGCGATCTTCATTTCATAGCTATCGCTGACGCCTTTTTTAGATAATATTGTATTATTTGTAAATATAATTTTTCGATCACTGATACTTGCAAAATATACATATAAATTTTGTGAATGCAAATAATAATACATCACTATTAGTAGATATTGAATGTTTTTGTTAAATTAGATCGATTTTCAAACCCCAAAATTTAAAATATATTTACATTTTACCCGTTATCTTATGTACCTATACATTATTTGTACATTGTAAATATTATTGTTCATAGTTTATTTGCCAAAGTATTTATTACTATAAATAGGTATATATGTTGTAGTTATTAACTGTATATTATGTATATTTCATGTAAACTATATCATTTTTAAAATACAAACCAAAAATCTGAGGAATAATTATGTTTTCCATGTATTCTACAACATATTTATTAATCCGTTATATCTAACTAGCGTGACGTCATAAATCTCGCCCGCAGGCTGATCTTTTAATAAAAGGCACTGGACAGACACCTCTTAAATTACTTGC